ATGCTAAAATGGAGTTAACCGGTTATACATTTTGGTTCACAGTCCAGTGAAAATATGTATGACCAAGCACGATAATAATTTATATCGGCCAGCGTTTTGTGTTAATTGTAAATTAATGCATTTTAAAGGGAAATAGTAATATGAAAATGAAATATGTAATTCTTCACGATGTTTATTTATATAGGTACAGCAACCTCGTCAAGTCAATCGGTATTTGCCTTGCCACAAGACTCGATTGATGTTTACTCTCAATTAGTTATCAATTCTCTATATATTTTCCTTTTTGAATATTTCATCTGTGAAATAAGAATTTACCTTGGGATAATACATTCTTATCTTATCTTTTATCTGGTGTAGGGGCGATGGGGTAGCCTAGAGGTTAAAGCGTCAGCTCGTTACGCTGAAGATCCAGGCTCGATTCTCCACAGGTGTACAATGTGTGAAGCCCATTTCTGGTGTCCCCCGCTGTGATATTGCTGGAATATTGCTAAAAGCGGCGTAAAACTAAACTCACTCACTTATCTGGTGTATCCATGGTGTGTTCTAGGTGCGTGTATGTGCATTCCTATTTCGCCAAAGGCGTCGTGACATTGTTATATACACGCTAGTATTTCCCATGTCTACCCAAACAATGCAATGTTTATGTCAATGACCGCCCTTGCGGCTCAGAACGCAGGTTTTGCTTCCAGACACACGTGGTCAACACATGGACGCTTCCATCTTGGTGCTGCGGTTCTCTTTCTTCTCTTTATACATGGATGTTGTGTATCTCGCCTATAAACACCATTAGCTTGCACCACTGACCACGATGGATTTTGTCTGTGATATTAAGAGAGACAAATGGGGTCGTGGCATGAGGGGAAGACCAAGTTATGTAAGAATCTCAGATGCATTTGGAAATAGGTGGTACAACTTAAGGAGCAATAATTCGTGGTGGGAACGAGTGGATGTTGTTTTATGCCGCTTTAGAGTATAAATAGAGTATTTGGAAAGTGAGCATAAGTGCTAAGTATAGAGCACACACTATTTAATGGTTTAGTGTGGTACATGCAGTGTTTAGAGTAGTCCAGATAGTGTTATGTTTAGTACGTGCTGTGTTAAGAGTAGTCTAGACTACTCTTTATTATTTACAACACGAAGTTTCTTGGCTACTTGTTTCCCCAACACTAGGTGTGTTGTAAATAATAAGGAAGTTGTAAATCCATACCATTCGTTGTTATGATACCTTCCAACTACTCAATGCCCATCAAACATTTGAGTCTAAACAGTGTTTAGAGTAGCACAGACAGTGTTTAGAGTTGTCCGGACAGTGTTTCGTGCAGTGCATGTAGTGTTTAGAGTAGTACATTCAATGTTTAGAGTAGCTCAGGCAGTGTTTCGAGTTGTCCTGACAGTGTTTAGAGCAGCACAGACAGTGTTTAGTGTAGCACAGACAGTGTTTAGTGTTGCCCAGACAGTGTTTCGTGCAGTGCATGTAGTGTTTAGAGTAGTACATTCAATGTTTAGAGTAGCTCAGACAGTGTTTCGTGTAGTGCATGTAGTGTTTAGAGTAGTACATTCAATGTTTAGAGTAGCTCAGACAGTGTTTCGTGTAGTGCATGTAGTGTTTAGAGTAGTACATTCAATGTTTAGAGTAGCTCAGACAGTGTTTAGAGTTGTCCTGACAGTGTTTAGAGCAGCACAGAGTGTTTAGAGTAGCACAGACAGTGTTTAGAGTTGTCCAGACAGTGTTTCGTGTAGTGCATGTAGTGTTTAGAGTAGTACATTCAATGTTTAGAGTAGCTCAGACAGTGTTTCGTGTAGTGCATGTAGTGTTTAGAGTAGTACATTCAATGTTTAGAGTAGCTCAGACAGTGTTTCGTGTAGTGCATGTAGTGTTTAGAGTAGTACATTCAATGTTTAGAGTAGCTCAGACAGTGTTTCGTGTAGTGCATGTAGTGTTTAGAGTAGTACTTTCAATGTTTAGAGTAGCTCAGACAGTGTTTAGAATTGTCCTGACAGTGTTTAGAGCAGCGCAGACAGTGTTTAGAGTAGCACAGACTGTGGTTAGAGTTGTCCAGACAGTGTTTAGAGCAGCACAGACAGTGTATAGAGTAGCGCAGACAGTGTTTAGAGTAGCGCAGACAGTGTTTAGAGTTGTCCAGACAGGGTTACGTGAAGTGCAGACAGTGTTTAGAGTAGCACAGACTGTGGTTAGCGTAATGCTTCAAACATTATATTTAGTATAAGCAGCTGTGAACGTAGGATACAGTAAATCATCAACTCAACTTGTAAATATCTGTGGCTACATTTACCTGGAATCTTAGCGTGTTGCTATCTTACTGGATGTATATTTACATGCACAAGAAATCGCATATGTTTTACGAAAGTAAGCTCGGATGAATAGTGTCTATTGCAATCTCATACATACAGCTGTCTTCTTCTGTAGCTTCTGCGTGGATTAATCAACACCTGTTCCATCTGTAACTGAAACCAACTGTAACGGTACAAGAACTTTCTTAACTATTCTCCAGACACTGTATTGGTACCCTGTATGATCGACAATGATGATGTTGATGATGATGATGATGATGGTGGTGGTGACGATGACGATGATGATGGTGGTAATGATGATGACGCTGATGGATGGTGGTGGTGGTGGTGGTGGTGACGATGACGGTGACGATGGTGGTGGTGATGATGATTATGATGGTGATGATGATGATGATGATGATGAATGCATGTGACCTTGACCAGAAATGTGTTGATCGATGCTCATTATGTCAATAACTGTATTGTCTGGTCAAGGTTTGATTATTTACTGACTGCAGTCACACAGCTGGAATGGAGTGGGGCGTTAAACAATAAACACTGACTAATTCATCCATTGATAACGTCTGGACCTAAACCAGGGTACCAGATCAGGGGTGTGAGCCCCTTTAAGTCTCGAAATAAGATAACATGGCCCTCTACCTCTGACGTTGCTGGAAGACTATGAGGCGTTAAACAATAAACACTGACTAATTCATCCATTGATAACGTCTGGACCTAAACCAGGGTACCAGATCAGGGACGTAAGCCCCTTTAAGTCTCGAAATAAGATAACATGGCTCTCTACCTCTGAGAAACGTTGCTGGAATACTATGAGGCGTTAAACAACAAACACATAGCCAGCGCAATTCATTGATTACAACTTCCACACCAAAACCAGTGTACCAGATTGTGGGGCGTAGGTACCTTTCAGTCTGGAATCAACGTAAGACAACACGACTCTACCTCCAAGGAACAGAGCTGCTTCAACCTGTCGGCACGTGAAATAGAAAAAGGATCAGTTTACTCCTGCTGCAACGAAAGCACTTAATGAACAAATAAAATACACCTCGTGGATAAAGAAACACGCACTTGTTTGTTTCGGCAAAAACGGACTTGACAGACCCCCCGCAAGGTCGGCGGTGCCTGTGTAATCAGGTACAGAATATCAACCCTTTGATGTCTCTGTACAAACGAGATTCTTGAACGAGATACGCACGTAGATGTGCCTTCAATTATGTGTGAAATATGCGTTAATGTGTCAAGAAAAGTTGTGTTTGGCTTGTAATATGGTGTAGAGTCCATTGACAATGTCAATGCTTACTTAATAATAGCAATGAAGAATTTTTTGTAAGGTGTTGATGTTCTCAAAGGAGTTCTTGGAAATGGAACTATATATAACTCTATAAATTAAAGACAAAAAGAACTGTTCACCCTCCTATAGTTAATCCGACGAGACATAGCTTTTTGCAATATATGTCTACAATAAATTATAATCGCACTTATTTTTAAAGCTTCATATTTGAAGCTACTCAAGTTCAATTTTACAACAAGCTACACAAATAGATATGTCACGTAATGATAGCATCCTCGTCTGACTGTATGTTAAAAAGTTTAAAGCGGGACTTCCTCCTCCAAAGCATGCATCCTGATTTAGCCCAGCAGTGAGGTGTTAGCTCGTACGGCGAAACTCGTGTTCAATTCTCAAAATGGATAAGATGTTTTGAATTAACTTCATAACTCATACTCTCTCACTGTTCCCCACAACTTTGAACAGCATTCGAGTTACGTCTCTTGAGGAAGAAAGCCCAGAGTGTAGCAGGTGTTATTTGGTCAGTGAAACGCACGAACTTACATATGTCTTATATTAGGTAATCTTCGAACTATGATTCTTTTCTCATAAAATTCTCTTTCTTAATTGTTGACGTGAGTGGCATACATCAAGTTGATAATGGAAACAAAAATCGATTTTTGTCTAGTTTTGTGTAGTTGTATTGGTGAGCAGTTGCACATAGTGACATATACTCATGCCAATAATGGTTGTCACCCCCCTCCCAATCCCAACCCCACACACACCTCACACCCCCACCCCACACCCCTTCTCCAATTAAAACAATTGAAGGGGGTGACAACCATTATTGGCATGAGTATATTTAGCTTCCATATTTGATCGAAACATTAGAAATAACCTGCACATGAATCAGTTTATACAAATTATTTGAAACATGCGTGACATTTCACACCAGCAATGTTTACAGTAACCGTATACTTTTCAACTCTTGACATCCTTTATCAAACGTTAAATCAAAGGATTATCTGATTATCCCTATCAACATTTGTGTGGTATACGAGTGTAATGTTACTAAAATAAAAGCATAAAATAGAGCTATCTTTAATTGCCACGATGATGATGATGATGATGGTGATGATGATTAATATTATTTTTATGATGGTGACCACGACGATGATGATGGTGACGACGACGACGATGATGATGATGATGATGGTAGTGGTGGTGATGGTGATGATGATGATGATGATGATGATGCACCCCTTTGTGGAACATTCTTCCATGCATAGTCACACGTTTAATCTACGCAGTGTACGAAACAGTGATATTTGGCCGTAATCCAATACCGCTAAAAAAAATGCAAGCACTGAGCGAGAAATGCCAAACAAGTTTTGACAAGCAACAAACAGGACTGATATCAGAATCCAATTGACAATACACAGCTCCACCTTGCTCATAATTCTTGATTCCGATTAACGGAAGTAGCTGATGTCACGTGACCCTATAACCTATATATAGAGTGCACGGGATTCTGATGATCACTGGCACGTGCCGATAAGAGCAGACGACACGGTGGAAAGTTATTGGCGAGCAAGTTTCAGTGTCTGTTTGTGCTGCTATCATGGCTGGAAGCGTTGGACGTTGGGAGCTGTTTAGCAGTGAAGGATTTGATGAATATATGAAAGCAATTGGTGAGTTAGATTTATATTTCATCGAAATATCCACATGCACTTTTTTGCATGCACGCTTCGCAAACTTTTTGACGAATATCGATAACAATAGCAATTACCCAAGGTTGACAAATCGAACACTAGCTGTTTTCATCAACTGCAATTATCAAATTAGTGTTTTTCAAATGTAAGACACCTCGACCTTGATAGACAGACAGACAGTTTATTGTTCATGTGTGATTTTGTGATTTACCGGATTTACTGTCAATTTGCTCATACATAATATATTGTTTACGTTTAGTTTTCCTCATAATCACTTACAAATCTAATTACCTTATGAGGATCATGGCATTAACTACGCTTATGCTCATGTTCCATTGACAATTTGGCTGTTTGGAGAACTTCCTTGGAACAGATCGTCATATTGACAATGAGATTTCGTTTCATATACTATCCGAAACATCAAACGATAACGACTTAGCTTAAACACTAAGAGGAAACAAATTTCAGCCGTTTCACTTCACCGTTGCTGATATGTTCAAATGAAACGAAGCATAACTGTATAATACATAATGAATACGGTAGGTAATGAGTTCTGTCGCCAAACCTGTTCACAATTATAGACTGGTGCTTGAATGTAACATCAATTATAGATGCTGCAGGTAATAGTAGACCAGAGCAAATCCTCATCGGGAGAGTCATGTTTGGTCGCATTACTCTGTCCAATTGATTGTCCTGAGTCTAATTTGATTGAATTTCACTCCATTATGGGTGGAATGTTTGAAACCTGTTCTGGTGCACATCACTAACAACGTGCTGCAGCTTTACCAGTCTAAAAATGCATAAAAATAAATTTTATAAAACATGCGTGATTATCAACACACGTTTAAACACACTCCCCACAATTTTAAACATGAGAGTTCAGAGATTATGTCTATTTATTATATCAATAGTTCATAGATGATGTCTATTCTTTCTATCAGTAGTTCAGAGATGATGTCTGTTCATTATATCAGTAGTTCAGAGATGATGTCTATTCATTGTATCAGTAGTTCAGAGATGATGTCTATTCATTGTATCAATAGTTCAGAGATGATGTCTATTCATTGTATCAATAGAGAGATGATGTCTATTCATTGTATCAGTAGTTCAGAGATGATGTCTATCATTCAGAGATGATGTCTATTTATATCAGTAGTTCAGATGATGATTCATTGTCAATAGTTCAGAGATGATGTCTATTCATTATCAGTAGTTCAGAGATGATGTCTATTCATTGTATCAATAGTTCAGAGATGATGTCTATTCATTGTCTATCAGTAGTTCAGAGATGATGTCTATTCATTGTATCAATAGTTCAGAGGGTGATTCATTGTATCAGTATTTGATTATTGTATCAATAGTTCAGAGATGTCTATTCATTGTATCAGTAGTTCAGAGATTGTCTATTCATTGTATCAGTTCAGAGATGTAGTTCAGAGATGATGTCTATTCATTATATCAATAGTTCAGAGATGATGTCTATTCATTGTATCAATAGTTCAGAAATGATGTCTATTCATTCTATCAGTAGTTCAGAGATGATGTCTATTCATTGTATCAATGTTCAGAGATGATGTCTATTCATTGCATCAATATCAGTAGTTCAGAGATGATGTCTATTCATTGCATCAATAGTTCAGAGATGATGTCTATTCATTGTATCAATAGTTCAGAGATGATGTCTATTCATTGTATCAGTAGTTCAGAGATGATGTCTATTCATTATATCAATAGTTCAGAGATGATGTCTATTCATTGTATCAGTAGTTCAGAGATGATGTCTATTCATTGTATCAGTAGTTCAGAGATGATGTCTATTCATTGTCAATAGTTCAGATAGTTCAGAGATTGTATCAGTATTCATTGTATCAGTATGATGTCTATTCATTGTATCAATAGTTCAGAGATGTCTATTCATTGTATCAGTAGTTCAGAGAGGGTGTCTATTCATTGTATCAGTAGTTCAGAGATGATGTCTATTCATTGTATCAATAGTTCAGTGTCTATTCATTGTATCAATAGTTCAGAGATGATGTCTATTCATTGTATCAATAGTTCAGAGATGATGTCTATTCATTGTATCAATAGTTCAGAGATGGTGTCTATTCATTGTAGCAATAGTTCAGAGATGATGTCTATTCATTGTATCAATAGTTCAGAGATGATTCCTAATCAGAATTTGATCTAACCTCACACATCATGTAACTGTAAATGAAGAAAACTTGGACAAAAATTCCCTGTACGTTGACACTAATTTACATTGCGGGCCCATGGTTTGTTAATGCGTTTCAAACGAATCTCCAGCTTAATTTGGCCAGTAACATATTGATCTCGCTGATTAGCTAACTCCTAATTAGATATTTATGTCGGTGAACTGAACACACGACGTAGTGAAATGCAACGGTAATGTTCCATCCCTTCGCCCCAATACTTCACACAGCATCTGTTCAGCCAGCACACCATGTGGCCTGGGGTAGAGCTAATATTTGTGTGTAAGAAGTCGTTTATAGCTTGTTTTATCGTTGAACATAGTGCAGTAGTGTCGGGTTTAAGATTTTGTTATCGAGATAAGGGCTGTCAGGGGAGAGTGTGTGTGTAGTACAGATCTAATTGTTTAATAGACAAAATACTTGTTTTCTAGCGAATCCAAACAAGTTACGATGAAACAAATATTCGGTGAAACAGCGTTAAGTCGTACCCAGTCAAATCCGGAAATCCCGCTTTCTGGACAATTCCCGCTGGGAAAGTCCATTTGCATGACGTGTATCAGAACGTATATATTTGTTTATAGTCTCAAATATCAAAGTGAATACGCTGTGTTTAGAAATCAGGTGTCCATAGAACACGCTGTATTGCTCATATCGTCACAAACACCTTCCACATACTGGACTCTCCAGAAAATATACTGAAGGAGAAAAATAAAGGATCGCCCCTGTTGTCTCTGTGTGTGTGAGAGAGAGAGTGTGTGTGTGAGTGTGAGATATATATATGTATGCCCACATATGATCACTAGATGATGATACTGTCTTCAACTACAAACTGTAGTACAGAGACTAACAGACTCCCCAAGTGTATGAAGGTCAGAATTTTACGCACACACACACACACACACACACACACACACACACACACAATGAGGACACTGATTGGAAGTATGCCCAGACGTTGCCAGATAGTTGCGTGACCAGGTCGGGGCCAAACTCAATACTGCCTTTCTTTATTTAAACATGAAAACCATGAATCACGTCTGCTATGTTTGCCGTGATTAAAATCTGAAATTTTATGCGATCCCTTATTTGGTTCTCTCAGTATATATAATTCTTTTGCCATGCTGCTGATTTTACGGTCAGTTCCTTAAGACTTTGAACAGATAAATCAAATTTCTGCCCTTTATACACTTGGGGAGTCTGTTAGTCTCCGTACTACAGTTTGTAGTTGAAGACAGTATTATCATGTAGTGATCATAGGTGGCCATATATCCTGGCAGGGGTGGAAATAATCCATTGCCCGACGTCCGAGTCCAGTGTTTTTTTCTGTCAGGCAAGCAAATTTGTATACCATGCTGTACCGGTGTCAATTGACTTTCCAATGTTGATAATGTTGTTTATTTAAAAAATCAACAAGAAAACGGCCGGCATGGTGGAAAACTTATCAGGGCAAGTGATTTTACATGTGCCACTGTACCGGAGTACACTAGCAATTTTAAAGTTATTTCCACCCCTGCCTGGTCATCTTTGCCTCTAATATGTCACATGGCAGCGGCATACGCTCGCGCACAACAACCTAGACTAATGCTTAGTCTCTGAATATATATAATTTTGATAGTAACAAACAAGCCCATTTAAATTGAAAAGGAGCCCCAGGGAGACCAGAGATTCAGAACCTGAACCTGAGGAAGTCTAGATTTGCTTTATTTAGGGCTTTAGCACTGCAGAGAGGGCTTTGCAGTAGGGAAAATAATGTGGTTCAGGGACTGTGAGACAGACTAACAACAACCTAACTGAAGAGCTTATAGCTCTGAATCTGACATTCAATAAAAAAATGAAGAATAAGCAGTAAAAGACAGCGATGTGTAAGATATATGGTGCGTGTCAAATGTGCATACAAAAAGCGCTATTAAGTGAACTATACATCAAGTTGGCTCATTATCTCTTGTTTCACTCCATTCTGAGGCTACTGTATAAGCGGTTGAAAAACTCGTCGCGTTCGCGAGCGCTTGGTCGTGGTGTCTTTCAATTTTTGTTTCAATTTAGGACGTCAATGGCGAAAATAACCTGTCTCTAATTGTAATTGTTCGCTGAAACATATTCCATTGGGATTCAAGGCAACGAAACGGGGAAAATAAATGTAATGGATCACCGAAAATTAGTGAGGACATCGAATGTTAGTTAATAGGGAAAGTCTGTCCTGTGCTACCGGATAGACCCGACACTCATACAAACTGCTTAAAAAGAGTAAAGTGTTCGTTGTCAGTAAAGTGTGCGTTGCCACGCGACGGCCAAGACGCATTAAGTTTGCGTTGTTTGTTAATTAACGCCGAAATCCAGTCCAGTGATTGACATCATGAGCACCGATCCACGCTATTGGGATACGATGACATGCGTCAACTAAGTCAGTGAGCCTGACCTTAGGTCGCCTCATATGACAAACATGGTGTGCTTAAGAGTGAGTGATTATGGTTTTACGCCGCTTTAAGCAATATTCCAGTAATGTCATTGCGGGAGACACCACAAATGGGGATTCAAATGTTGTACCCATGTGGGGAATCGAACCCGGGTCTTCGGCGTGACGAGCGAACGCTTTAACGACTAGGCTACCCCACCGACTTGTATTGCAGTGCATATATATCTTCATACATTTTCATATTTTTCACAAATTTATTTTTAACAAAGGAAATCGGTATATGTGCAAGTGGCTGTGCATAGTGTATCTTGTTTATGGCACAAATGTCAGTTAGTAAGTGTGTCCACGCCAACCTT